AACCCTAAACCCTAAACCCGGCAAAAATTGAAAAGGGCCCACTGCCCCTTCCCGTCGTCAGGGCTTCGAGCTGCTCCCGAACCCTGCGCCACTGAATTGCGTGGACCGCCGCCACCGCCCGGATCGGGCCGTGAACCCAAAAACGGTCATGGGTTCTATCAGGGTCCCACGGTGCCAATGAAAGGGTGGAGGGGTGGGGGTGTTCGATAGCGTCGTAGGGTCAGAGGGTTTGGGGGGTTTACGTTTTTGTTGGCGGGTATGTGTGTCTACCTGCATGCGTCCCTGACTGCTTCATGCTACTCTACATCTGCTTGCAAGCATACACACTCATGTACATGCATGCATGCGCTAGCTACTCTGCCTACCTACCTCCCTGCCCGCCTGCATTCATGCCTGCCTGCATACATGCAAGCATGCATGCATCCATGCATGCATATGTATGTATGTTGTATATGCATGTATGTGCCAGTACGTAGCGTAGCGCAGTGTAGTGCAGAGAAATGTAGTGTAGGTTGCAGTGCTGGGCTCTCGTGTACTGTGATTGTAACTGTGAATGCGTATGTATGTGTGTGTATATGTGTGTGTATGTATATATATATATATATGTATGTACGTGTACATACATATGTAGTCACGTCTATATATATAAAGCACACATATATGTACCCATACATATACATATGTTTATGCATGGAGCATATATGCATTTTTATGACAGTGCGTCAAACTGGCACAAGGCTCCTGCGACCCCACTGGCGGCAAGAACGTCGTGATGTGGGCCAGGCGTATGTCTACCGGTTTAAGCCATGGAAGGTACTTCCATTGCATGTGTGAAGGTGTGTTACGCAGCATGATTGTCCCACACCCGAGGCGATACGCAGGTCCATGGCTACTTGGAATGTGTTTGAGTTGTCTTTCGCACGCCCCGCCCCGGACGAGCTGCACATCGGCGCATAGTTGGGGTGAAGCTGTTGCAGGACGAGCGACGAAGAACGCCGCACCGTCGATGGGCAGACCGAAAGCGTCTGTGCAGGGAAAATAGGCTGAATTCAGATGAACCTTCCTTGCATCCTCAGTAGCCGTACATGATCATGCTTTCCTCCTAAGCACAATTGCGACGGCGGGCCTGACTGTGATTGGTGCTTGCATGATCTTTCATGGCGATGTAGGGCTTTACATTCATGTGCCGCTGCCGTGTAGATGTGTCAAGCTTCTGTGCGGCGGCCTTCATGTGTATCCAGAAAGGTGTGGCTCGCTACCCAACTAGGTAGGGGTGCATCAGCACCCTAAACCCTAAACCCTAAACCCTGTCATTTTTCTGTTCTGTGTCATGTCAGCACCGAGGCTTCGTGCCAGCGAGACTGTTTCCTTCTGTCGTGCCCAAAGACAGCAACCTATAGCTGGTCCGATGCTATTGCTATGCTGCACCAAGTAGGTAAGACCAGAAAATACGGCCCTAGCGAGAGGGTTGATGGACATGGAAGATGGCGCAGCCCTTGTTGACGATCGACTTCCGCGGGCCAGGCTTGCGGATGTGGCTCGCGTGAGGGACGAGATTTTGGGTGCTCCTTGGCAGCAGAAAAGTTCGGGGATTCAGGGACGTGCGGGGTTTAGGGTTTAGGGTTTAGGGTTTAGGGTTTAGGGTTTAGGGTTTAGGGCCACAAGATGGGTTGTTTCTGAGATTCTGATTCGGGTTTGAGAATGTTGGAGGTCACGGCGAGGAGGGAGGTTACTCTGAGCTTGAGGAGCTGCCCGCTGCTTTGACTGTCCGGGCTTTTCCTCTGAGCTCTTCAGGGTCTGCTTGCGCAGTCAAGCTCAGGAGTCGGCATAGAGTTTAGGGTGTAGGGTTTAGGGTTTAGGGTAGAGCTTCAGGCGGCTTCACAGCTTGATGAGAACAGCAACACTATTTACAGAGCTGGGACGGCGAACGGGTAAGTAAGAAAGGCAAGAACAGCCCCATGCCAAAGACTGGAGGCACAAAGAAGGTTCATAGGGAGAGTCAGCATTGCAGCATCGAGCCCTGCGGTGAAACGAAGGATGGACTTGGCGAGAGAGCACGCCTGAACCTTAAGCCCTACCCGGCACCCACATCGTAGATCTTGCTTCGAAGGTTGTATACCGGCCATCCGAGATCCTTTCCCAAGACGAGTATCTGGTCAAGGTGTGGCTCGTGCAGCTGCAGGGGATTGAAAGCGGCAAGCTCAACTGGGATGCCCCCTGAGTGCAAGAATTGTATGTGCGTTTACTTACTTGTCGGTTGGCTGCTTTGATTGGATTAATTGGTTGGGGCTTTCGCAGTAGCAATCACAGCTGCCTTCAAGGCGGCACCATCATACTCAAATTACGGCTCCGGATCTTGCTCAGGACTTCATCCCTTCGTGCAAGAAGTGCAGCGCTAAGCTCCTGCCTGCTCTTGATGAGCATGATGAGCGGTGCTCTTGCTTGGTGTGCGGTGGTCGGAAGGGGCCGAAGCAGTGCCTGGGGGACTCGAGCTTTCGAGCTGGGAGCTTTCCCAGGAATCGTCCGAAAAACAGGCGTACTGTGGCAGTCACCCTTTCTTTGGTGGCAATTCTGCCATCGAGCAGGTCCATGGGGATGTTGGCCCGGCTTTGTGGGAGGAAAGGCTCGACGGCAGTGAAGTGTTTGAGGTCGTGATGACTGCTTCCAGTTCGTGGCAGCCTAGGGGCGCCGGCTACGGATGGCATACGGAAGCCCACATTTTTGCTGATGATTTTTGGAGGAGTGAACTGTCGGTGTGTAGCATTTCTCTATCGTTGGTTGTTGCAGCAGTGTCTGACATGCGCCAGGAGTGTCGCTGTACCCGAGTGCAAGTTCGACCGGATGGGGAGTCGATCCTCACGCCGACGCAGGTGAAAATGGGTGGGCAGTTGTCAGCTCCCGTCTCCTCGGCAGTTGTCTTAGCAGAAGCCTGGCCCCCTTCAAGTCGTCATTTTCAAGACCTGGCCTTCACTTAGTTATTTTCTTGTGCCAGGCACGAGCCCATCCTTGAAGCATGTCGATTTGAATAGGTTTTGTCCAGGAATCGTCCGCCCACGGCTTGTACATCTTGCTGCAGCGGTGGGGGCACAGCAGTTGCATCATAAGACGTGCGGCTGGCAAAGACGCCAACAAATGGACTGAAGTTGCTGCCGCTTGGCCTGTTCAGCCCTGTAGATTCTGTAGCAATGCGCGTTCCATAAACTTTCATTCTGCCAGTCTGTCCTGTGGAGTTGTGTAAGTTGTTGCTGCCTGTGATGCACCAGTTTGGCCAAGCTGTGAGTGACTTGGATTTGCCGTCGGTCAGCGGTTTGTATGCAAGGAACTATCAAGCCCAGATGCCTGCAAAGATTTCAAGAAGCAGGTTGTGGAGATCAGTGATCCGACGAACAACTGTTCAGCTTTGCTCGTGGGGCTGTCCAAAAAGAGTTTGTGGCTCATGGAGGTTCCGCGCGACGATCTGACATGGGGGAGGGATCTCACAACGGCACAGCAATTGGCCAGCAAGGCCTCTGAGCCGCACGGCCGTACTGTGTTACGATGTACTGCATGCTATGCAACGCCGTTGTCGCATGATTGCGCTATCCGGTAAGCGTTTGGAGGTCGTGCCTTTGCAGTGCGTCACACCTTGTTGCTTTTCTGAGGTTCACTGGAGAAAACTGATGGATCTCCCTGGCTTGGATGCCGACAACGCAGAGCTAGCGGACGGCGAGAGTGACTGGGACGAGGATGAATGTCGACCACCACGGTCACCACGCTTCATCTGCAAGGGACCACAGGGTGGTCAGGTCATCATCTTCTCCGCGTCTGGCATCTCACCCACAAGTTCGTGCTATGTCCCAAAAGGCTGAAAGTCGAACTATTCCAAACCGTGATCTCTAAGCCGACCTATTGTGGGGGCGCATAGGGCACATCCCTAAACCCTAAACCCTAAAACCCTCACATACCTATTTCTTCTCATGGCGTTTTGGAGTCCAAGGCTCATTCCTGAAGCCATGGCTGCTGGTCAAGATCGGAGGCATTCCGGAGTTTGCATGGTCTTCGAGTCTTCATGGGTTCGGGAGGCTTTGTTGTTTAAGGGTTTATGAGTTCCTTTAAGGTAAACTCAGTGTTGCGAACGAGTGTTGCAGAAAATCCAGCTGTTTCGGTTTTACGTGTGGAGCGTTGCGTTGCTGTTCAGAAATCAGAAAGGCGCGCCGGTGGGCACAGAGATCTCCACAGCTTTGTTGACGTCGATTGCATCGGTGCCTTTGCAAACGAAGGAGGCTGCCCGACTTGTGGCCCCAAATGTGATAAGCGGTGTTTTGTGGTTTACAAAGTCTATGTAATGGTATCATACTGGTATATCATGACAACACCATTGTGGGATTGAGGGGCTTGGGGGAAGCCATCTTGGGAGGCTGGAGCCAAGCGTATTTGTTCGGTCTTCAACACAGACCAGATTCTGTTGCTGCCTGCAGTTTTTCGCATGGAGCGGCGGCACGCTGGATATCTGTTCTTCGACGGCGTTGGCCAGATCTACCGCTTGCGAGATGAAGAGATTCTGCTTGCAGAGCATGCGCCTCGTCGAGGGAAGCGAAGTCCAGAATCGCCAAACCCTCGGCTTGGTGCCCCCCCGCCTGGACTCGACGGAGATTTGGGTGAGAACTTTAAGCCTCGGGATTCCTCGTCTCAGCGAACAGAGAAAAGACCCACCCTTAAAAGCTCGAAGCCTTGAGCATTCATCCGCGGACGGCCGTGTGCAAAAGTAGGACGTTTTGAACCCCCCCTAAACCCTAAACCCTAAACCCTAAACCCTAAACCCTAAACCCTAAACCCTAAACCCAAAATCCTAAACCAACACCCAGATTAGCCCCGCGTGTAGGCTGCGCATCAAGGCATGGACCGCCCCCAGTTTCATCTCAAGTGCTTCACAGCGGTTGGTAACTTTTACCTTTCACGAGAGTGATGCAAAGCGTTCTTGCCTTCTCTCCGTCTTGGAGCGCTTCGAGTACTTCCAGAAGGCTTTTGGGCAGTGGCAGGAAGGCCATTCTTCGGAGATGTGCATCGTCGATGTGGAGCCTGGGACCTTCGATGTATTCTTGCAATATTTGCACGCTGGACGACTCGGGAAGCTTCCGCTGCAAACCTGGCTTTCCTTGCTTCAGCTGGGCAACAAGTACGTGATGCACCATTTGATGGCTATCAGCAGGGCGCGGATCCTTGGTGCCTTGGTCTTGCTTCAGTTGTTGAAGGCCTGTACTGGCACGGGCGTATTTGTTCGGATCGTTGCTGTTGTAATCGTACGACTATTGTTGCAAAAAGCGGTGCGCCCGTAACACTTCATAGCACTTGTTCCGGCTGGGCAGAACACGGGTTGCACCAAGATAGCAAGCATGTTCCAGGGACAGAGGGCTGACGGTCCTCAAGGATCAAAGTCTGCTAAGAATTAGAGCTTGGCTTTATCACTCCACGCCGCGCAAAACTCGTGCCATTGCTTGCCGTTCACCGCAGGCATTCTTGATGATGAAGAGGTTTTTGGCCAAGAGAAGCCAAGTGTGCTTGCGGACCTGTTGGCTTTTGCCAGCAAGTGCGGGGGCGTTTTCAAGGTCAAAGTCATGGATCTGCAGCTGCACTGAGCTCCAAAAGGTGTTTCAATGTAGACCCAATAGCCCGTTTTCCAGGCTGATTGTATCTTTAGACACCTGAGGATGCCATTGCTTGCTACCGCTCCAGTCTTGTGGTGGACACGGACTTCCTAGCACGGGTGTCGTGCAGTTCGGTCGAGGCATTGTCTCACTTGCTGGACTCGCTCTTGAAGCCAGATAGTTGCCCAACAGCACAGCCCGTAAACTTTTTATTCCCTGTTCCGGTCAAGGCAGATGTGGGGTAGAAAATCAGCATGTTGCGGGCCTGAACTCCCGGAAAGCAAGGCCACCTCGAGAGCCGGGAGGCCAAGAGACGGAAGCTCCTCCACACTCGTCAAGCGGCTCTCTGGAGGGAGGCAGGCGATGCGCCATCATGGAGCTCTCTTTGACAAGACGCGCGCCTCACTGCACCGACGCTTGCTCATTGGTTCTTTGAGGTGGGCATCAGTAGTATGCTGCCGTGATCAGGCACTCTGAATGTGTACCCGCACCGCCAAAAGTGGGTTGGTGGCGCAAGGGGTGAAGGGAGACGGAGGAGTCATTCAGGTTGGAATGGACTCCGTGTTCCGGCTTCAAGATGCGAAGAAAACTGGGAGCCGTTGCATCCGCATTGAAGCCCAGCAACACCGATGCCTGAACTGCTTTCCTGCTTATTGCCCCCAATCTTGCCACGGCGGAGACTCCCAAGAGGTTTCTCAGTTATGTGAGCACACCTTCGATCAACCGTTGCACATGTCCAAAATAATTGGTCACCAAGTCCATCGCGTACCTTGCAACAGTCACATGTCCAGTCTAAGCACGAAGTAGCTGGGGAGAGATGTTCCCTAAACCCTAAACCTTAAACCCTAAACCCTAAACCCTTCACCCTCAACCCTAAACCCTAAACCCTGAGCCCTAAACCCAGCTTGTGCCTAAGTTCTTGTGTTTCAAGCCTCAAGGCCTTGGGGCCATGCTCCGAGCTCAACTCGGTGCTTGTCCCCTCAGAGTCCTCATGTGGTTTAGGGTTTAGGGTTTAGGGTATTAGTTACGAGTTGTACTACAATATACCCCAAATCCCTCTTCTGAATACTGCGGCATCTATACCCCGAAACCACCGTTTCAAGTCTGCTCTACCCTGCCAAGGCGATCGTCACCGTCTGCCTTGCGCATCGTCATCAAGGAGCGCCGTTCAGAAGAGCAGACACTAAGACCCTGCAGGCTTGTCTTGTAAACACCAAAGAATCAGAATTGAAAGAATCTGGAAACTTCAATCTGCTCACCTTTGCACGGCCGAATCCTTGCGACTTGGGCAAACTTGCTGCAGGACAGGCGACGCACGAGATGGATAGACTGAAAGCAGATGTGCAGGAAAACATGCTGGTTTCCGTACTTCGCAAGTTGCTGGAGATGTACCCTGATGAAGCTTTCTGCCTTTCTCAGTCTCCGACACCATCCTGCCTGCCTCCTGTGCACAGGGCGACGTCACAGTTTTCGCGAGTACTACTCGTACTGTTATGACTGCTATTGGGAGTATTGTTGTTTTTAGTGCTATTGCTGCTTGAGCCTGACTGTGATCACTTTCTACATGTGCTGCCTTGGGCTTTGCATTGTGGAAGGTGCTGCAGCCATGGAGGCTTGCCAAGCAGTAGCGCAGCCTGGATGTGCTTCAAGAAGATGAAACCGCAAACCCTAGACCCCATGCCACTAGCAACAAAAACTATATAAGGTTGTGTCCCTCAAACACCAGCCCATGCGGCACAGCCATGGCAATCGACGGGGCTGGTACCTTAGCATATCTTCTCGTACAGGTCACTGGCGTTTAAGTGTAGTTTCTTGGATCTAGTTGTGGAAATCGGTGCGAACAGGAGATAGCATCAAACTACTTCCAGACGAGAAGCAGATCCATGACCATCCAGCAGGGAGTTGTGTATGGTCCACCCACTTGTTTCAGAGTTATTTCCACGATGAGTCGGACTTTTCGTCGAACCGGTGACGTGCTAAACGCTGCCATAGCCAAAAGGCGACAGTGTGTCGTTGCGGGTAGTACAGGGGCCTCAATGACTGGAAGGGACTGGAGGAGGCCTTCGGGATACATGTTGACATTAAACCCAAACTCCGAAACTAAAACCCCTAGGCAATGGACAGAGTTGGTTTTGCGCAGTGGAATTTATTTATAGCCGCAGGGATTCCGCAAGCTCGGTCACACGTCTTGAAGTTACTTGAGGATCTCTATCGGGGCCTGTTGAATACCGCTCCAAATGCCTCTTTCTCATGAGACTCGTAGCCTACTCCCAAGCGTGAAGCCCTAAACACGAAGTCCTGCCCTGGACACCGTCTCGAGTCCCAAAACCCAGCTCAAACCACGCAGAGGCAGCAGCGGATAGCCATGGCGGCGGGACGAGGCGGCAACACCCTCGTGGGGGTTTTGAGCTTCGGAGCGGCGCACCTGCGATTTAGGATCCCGAACTCAGAAACTCAGAGTTAGTTAAAGGATCATGGGACTTAGTAGCTGAGGTTATTATTAGGGTAACTATACTTGTAACTACTTATAACCCCAATTAAGGTACTCATAACCATACTTACTAAGTCCCATGATCCTCCAAGTTAGGGAAGGCAGAAGATCGGGCTTCATGATTTGATTGCTTCTTCGGGAGATTTCCGAAGCGCGTGCGCCTTCCAAGGGGCTCTGTATCTACACGGCGGTGGCTGTTCCTCTGTGATCACTACGACGGAGCAGAAAGCAGATACCAGGCAATAGTAACCCACAGAATCACCCGTAAGCCTTATAGTAACGCAGAGAACAACCCCAAACCCTTGTGGTATCCCCGATATAAGTCATATTCAGCATGCCACGTTTTAAACACAAAGGCTGATCGGCTTGTGAAGGGGGCAAGTGGAACGTGACAACATACCGAAGATTCTCCAGCATGTCGTGAGAGTATCATTCGAAGATGTTGAATTCCACTTGCTGTTTGTCGCTTCAACACAGCTGCATGTCAAGAAGCAGAGTTCTTGACTCGGGCTTGTAATTTCCCAGGCTTTGGGGGTTCCTACTGTAGCCAGCCCACTGCAATCAACTCCGGCCAGTGTCCACACTTCTGTGTCGCTGCGGCAAGAAGACGGCGACGCAGATCTCGGATCTCTGACTTTCCGTCTCCGGACAGAAGCAATGCCAGAGCTTTCGTGTTGGCCGTACCACACGGGATTTTGATGTCATGCGAATCTTGCGAGCGCTACAGCCCGCTCTGGTGTGGGTCCCGAATTGCCAGCCGCGAGTGTGCATGGGATGGCCAAGAATGCTGTCAGCTTGCGTTTCGAAGTGCTGATGCTGCACCCCCTAGTCCTGGAGCTGCATCCCAAAATAACCGAGCGCAAAATGTGGGTCCTCTTGCAACTACTGGACCTGGAGAAGAAAGTTGTGTAGCCAAACAGTATTGAAAAACGCACGTCATGCGGATGAAAGTGAACTGTCTCTTCAGGCCCCTGCCCTGCATGAGCTTGGCATAATTCCATGAGGGCAAGGAATGATCCTTGAGAGGCTCTCACTGGCCCGAAGCCCTTCGTTGATTCTTTTACCGGATCTTCTTGTTCTGCTTGACTACACGAACTCACCAAACCGATGCAAGCAGCATAAAGTCATCGCAGGCCTTCTGGAGATGCTCAGCTCCGTCGTGCCGGTGAGCAAGCTGTCGCAGGAGCCTTAGGAAATTGTGCAGCTCATTGTGAGGTTGCTCTCTGTGCGGCTTCAGCCTTGCGATCAGGGACTCTGCTGTGAGGAAGTCGTATGATGATGTGACGTATGATGATGTGACGAGTTCGTATGCTGAGAATGATGCTATAATGAATGCAATGCATGAGTGAATATCATGAAGATAAAAAGAAATTATCAAGGGTAAACTGAATACTATATATAGTGGATATACTGAACAGAATGAACATAATACTCAGCTAAAAGCAATATATTCGTGCCAATGGATCGATTATCAGATGTTGCATTAATTAATTTATCGATCCTTTATGTATACGAAGCACATTACTTGTATCAGTTATACCATTTATATCAGTTATACCGTTTTCATTAATTAGAGTCATCAGATTCGGTATATTAGCCACTAATTGGGCCACAAGAATAAATTGAACACTGGTTCTAGCGGCTATGTTGAAGAGAATGCATAATGGACGTGATATAATGAGTGCAATGCCTTGTATTCAGAATGCCAATGGTTACGTTGGCTATATTCAGAATTTTGAAGTGTAGCTGTCATATCAGTTTCATCAGTTGCATGTTTTGTATGAGTTGTAGTCAGTATATCTGTTATATTAATGACATTTATTAGACTAGTCATATGAGCTGTATCAATTCTGGTAGATATGTTTATGTTAAGGCCGTCAAATACAATAAATTAACTATAAATGTGTTGAAATATCTTTACAAGATTATTTGACTCATGATCTTAGAAGTAATAGCTATGTAAAGAATGAAGCCTTCACGAAGTTAGACCTATATAAAGGGTCCATCAAGCAGGTTATACAGGACATACAGTTCAGAAGCAGCATGTAACAGCTACATGGACAACGCTTTTAGTGTTTAAGTGGCTTAAGAATGCACACAGTCAGATGACACACGTTTAAGAAGGAATAATACAAACGACATACAACAAATACCACCATTTTTAAGGGGATGCTATAACACAGTTTTTCATATTATAATAGGGTTTTTCACTGCATTTTCCGAGGAAAACACACATATGCAGACAAAAACCAAGACAGCAAAACCACGGGTGCGGATCATGGGGGGGGGGGCGGGGGGTGACCATATATTTTTTTGTATATAGATATGCGTACAAAGTGAGCGAGCGAGAGAGAGGGAAAGAGAGAGAGAGAGAGGGAAGGGTCCACCGTGGGGCGAATGCGTGTTAGCTTCTTTGTTGCTGTGGTGTGAGTGGGTTTCGTTCCGGCGGGAAGCTTGTGTATCAGCTACAGCGTCGCAAAATAAGCCTATGCAAAAGCGCAGGCCCCGCAGCGGAATGCTCTCGAGATATATGTTTATGCACATAGGCACATGGCGTACAACTATACATATAGTCGTATGTGCCTACCGTCCCTCCCTCCTTGTGGCTTAGGGTTTCCCTAAACCCTATAAACCCTAAACAAAC